ATTATTATTATTATTTCCTTCCTCCTTTTTCATTTTTTTTTTACTAAAACAATAAACCTACATTCATTGTATATAGTGGTAAATATTGTAATTTTATTCATACATTCATACTCATTATTATTTAAATAAAAAACTCTTAAAAATATTAATTTTCTTTTTTATAACTTTTATCTTTATATTTAATGCAAATAATTTTAGTTAAAAAAAAAAAAATGACTAGGTTTGATAAAAAAAAGCGCATACCTACTTGTTAGTAAATCCAGCGGTAATTGATCGAAAAAAATAGATAAAACAATGACAACGGACGGAATCTCTTGATTATTATTTATACAACTTAACTATTATTTTTTTAATTAATATTATTATTATTTATATTATTATTGGGGTAGTAATAACTATTTAATGGAAAAAAAAAGGAATTTTGAGAGCGATTAATAGCGAAGATAAAAAAATAAAATGGATTTAATTTATATACTATCGTTTAATTAAATAACATTTAACGATGAAAAATAGTGTATATAACACAGCCGCACTTGGACACGCACGATGTAGGCCGGCTAACGGTTCAGGCCGCACTGAGGACTCCTCAAAAGCTACAGAGCTTTCCTAGCTGCGATACCTCGACAACAGCCACCGTACCGCGGATACAGACACACGGGTGTATAGCTATAGGTATCTAAAAGCAGCAGAATCACCAGCACCAGCCACCAGCCACCAGCAGATATACAGATATACAGATATAATATTGGTGTATAGACAGGAGATTGTAGGAGGGGATCTGTAGTAGGATAGGAGCTTTATTTCAATATCTTTTGCTTATTCGCTCTTACTTACACACCCCAGATATTTTGTACTATTTCATCTCGTTCTTACGAACTTATACAATATATATTCCCCTTTTGTCCTGAAACTCCCCAGACATTTATCGCCTTTTTTCTTCAAGATAATTAGACACATTCCCAAATTTCACTTTTATGGACCTAAAATTTTATTTTATCGAATTTATTTATTTATGTTTAATTTTTTTACAATGTTTTTATTTTCTGAAGACTGGCTCTATAATACTTTATATATAAATAATGGCTATCCAGTCTAATACATGAATTTTTTTCTCTAATTATTCATATAATATCGTTAGCCTGTACCTATTCCTTCCAGGCATAAACAAATTCTAAATTCTTATCTAAATTTACCTTTAATGACAAATTTAGATAAGAATTTAAAAATTGTTTATGCCGGGAAGGAATAATACAGGCTAACGATATTATGAATAATTAGAGAAAAAAATTCGTGTATTAGACTGGATAGCCATTATTTATATATAAAGTATTATAGAGCCAGTCTTCAGAAAATAAAAACATTGTAAAAAAATTAAACATAAATAAATAAATTCGATAAAATAAAATTTTAGGTCCATAAAAGTGAAATTTGGGAATGTGTCTAATTATCTTGAAGAAAAAAGGCGATAAATGTCTGGGGAGTTTCAGGACAAAAGGGGAATATATATTGTATAAGTTCGTAAGAACGAGATGAAATAGTACAAAATATCTGGGGTGTGTAAGTAAGAGCGAATAAGCAAAAGATATTGAAATAAAGCTCCTATCCTACTACAGATCCCCTCCTACAATCTCCTGTCTATACACCAATATTATATCTGTATATCTGTATATCTGCTGGTGGCTGGTGGCTGGTGCTGGTGATTCTGCTGCTTTTAGATACCTATAGCTATACACCCGTGTGTCTGTATCCGCGGTACGGTGGCTGTTGTCGAGGTATCGCAGCTAGGAAAGCTCTGTAGCTTTTGAGGAGTCCTCAGTGCGGCCTGAACCGTTAGCCGGCCTACATCGTGCGTGTCCAAGTGCGGCTGTGTTATATACACTAT